ATGTAAGGACAGCATGATAAAGGTGAATTCCTTGGGTTTGGGGGGAGAAAAGGCACTCAACTCAGGAGAATAAGGAAGAAACTCAATAAACGTTTTGTTAGCTCTAAAAAATGTTCTGTTTTGCTAATTTCTAATCTCATAATTTCTTCACGTAATGTCTTTTCCTCTCCTTTTGATAATGAGAAATGGCATTATTCCCTGTAAAATTCACCATTCCAGGTGATCGGGTTTAGGACATGCTACCCAAAAATATGGCACGTTGGTGTATTGAATATTTCAAGCTGGCAGGTGCAGGAAGGGTTTCCAGACCTTCCCACGAAGCAGGTCATAAAACTCTCATGTGAGAGGTGTCCTCCCAGAGCATCCTATCTCCAAAGGCAGAGGGACTTTGATGGACAGATCCTGCTCATTCCCCAGTTCACCACATTTAGCTCATACCCTTCTTTGTCCTCTCACTTCTTTCCTCCACTCTTTATCACACCCAGCATAAGAACACTCAGGTTTAACCACTACTTCAGGGCTTCACTCTGTTCTTCTTAACAAGGACTGCCCATAGGAAAAACTAGTTACCCAGAGCCTAATCTTTTTAGGTTTTATCAGAGCCCAACTGAACTAGGGGAAGGGAATTATCCAGCTCCAGCCCCCTCTAGCCATCCCAGAACTAAGAAGCACTTGTGAAGTTCACAGTCCAGAGGTGATGAAATAAAAATTCACATTTTAAGGCAAGACAAGAAAAATTTAAACATAAAACTTTTTCTCTGCCCTTTGGCTGTCTCTCTGCCTTCTAGTGTGTGTTGTGCACCTTCATTATGCCTTAACCAGACCTCCCTGATGGCAGGAATACCTGCTCAACCATAAAGATCAATTTTTCTCCTTCTGGAGCTAGCCTTGTAAGTCTTTAGAATATAACATTTCTTTCTCAATCCTATAAGGGGTCACAATGACCCTCCACTCACTTGTACGTGCAGACATCTTTGGTGAACTTTATGTAAAATGCCAATATACCATTTCCCTTCAAGAGAGCAATTAGTGCAGAACTGACCGGTCAGAGGACCTGGGGAGATCCTGGGCTGCACCTAAGTTCTTAGCTTAAATACTTACTTATGACCATATTAATGTTATTAGCTCCATTACTTGCCTATTTTACAAGATTATTGGTTCTTGCCTTACCAAATGTGTGACTAAGCCTCAGATAAAATTAATGATGACTAGGCAACTTGAAACAATCAACCAAATATATAGTTCTATAAGATCAGTGATTGTAACCGTGTAACTCTAGCTATGGGAGGAAGCAATAAGAGGAAAGCATTTCCTGGACCATAACATACTAGTAGGACAGGCGGCCAAGAGGCTTTTGGTTACCGTTAACAGGGCCTAGTCCAGGAACAGCACTGATTGGCTTATCGACGAAATCCTCACCTGACCTGGGAGTGAGCATTCCTAGCACCGTGGGACAAATTGATCACTAAATGCCTTCCAAACCTGGGTCAAAATTAAGACCAAAAGGGAGGGGATTGTAAAATAAAGAATGTTGCCCACCATCCGGTTCTACAAGAATCAAGTCAACAGCCACTGCAGACACTGACCTACAGCACATCCTGAAAGGAGTTCAGGGCGAAGATCAGGATGAGGTGCTCTGTGCTCTGGGAAACTGCAGAACAGACCTTCAGATGTTTAGATATTTGCAGGAGAAATTTTTTACGAACCTGGATTTTTGCATCTTCCCATACTTCGAATAGCACTAAAACCATTAACTAAGATGCCTCTTCCTTGTGACTAGCCGCAAACTTCTGCTGGGATTCATGCTTGACTGCACGGTACCCCTCGTCCAAAATCACACACACACTGACCTCCCCCACTTCCCTCTTTGGAACAGTTCTCAGAGCTCTCCGAGAGGCCGTCTCCCGGACTACAGTCCTCAGTTTGGCTCGGACTCTATTTTCTATTTCTTTCTTATATTGACTATTGATTAATTTTTTTCGTTGACAGAGACATAGACCCACTAAAAACATGATTTATCATTATTTGCATGAAGCTAAGTATGTCTTTCACTGAATTTTATACTTTTCAACCCACTGGTCTAGCACTGTATATACCTAGCCCATCTATATGCTTCATAAGCAAATTGGTCAAACTATGAATAGTCTTTAACTTTTTAGTTATTTGCATGTGTAGAAATATATTTTGAGTGAAGAGGCAAAATTAGATAAATCTGAGATGAGAGAATCATTCCTAGTTTCTACAAACTAGACCCTCGCCCACAAACAAGGATCCTACCAGTATAGGGTGTATCTGCGTGTGCACTGTCTTTGCTATACTGGTCACTCTTCAGCTTGTCTTTCCTACAAATCCTACACCTTTTTTCCCTTTGTATTCATGTGTAGTGACAAGTTCCACCCATGTTGTTTTGAGGCTTTGCTTCTTTAAATTGACAACCTTACAGTTGTTGCTAGCGAATGGCATGCTGTTTGCATGCATGCTAACTTGAATCCCTACTCCACCGGAGTCTGTTAAAGTGACTTATTCCTACAGCATAACAATTCTATGGCAACAGAAATAGAAACGTTTGTTTGTTATCCGATCAGCATTGCTTGGTTAAACATAAATGTGTTTGCCTATGAGAAATATATAATGGCAGACACATTGGAAACATTAGTGCTTTTATTCAATTCAATTTATACAATCAGCATTTGTTGAGCTGCTACCAGGATGAGGCACTGTTAGGTATTTAAGTTATAGTAACACGGGCTGCATCTTAAATTCCTTTGGAGATAGTAAGCAAGTCTTATCACAGGCTCTATGCAAATGACGATAATTAAGATATTTGTTACCATTCTATTTTCAACAGTAAAGTCATTCCAGCCCAGGGATTTCTGGTCAGATACAGTGACAGTGAACAGTAATATGCCTGTTGTTATGCATCTGTACTATATCCTAAGAGCAAAAAAGCACACGCATTTTGACTAAAAAGACCCGCTACTGAGACAGGTTGGAACCTGGGACCCTTTGCTGCAGTGCTGAAATGCTTGCACCTGGACACACCTCTCCTCAAGGAACAAAAATACAAAGAAACTATATGGGACTAAAAATAACTGCGTGCATGCACAGTTGGGGCAAATTCTGGACAAAAGATACAAAAAGACCAAAAAAAACCCAGCTGCTAAATCTGAAGAGCCAGGAGCAAAAGCAGGGTGTTGGGAGCAAAAGCAGGGTACTGCGCATGCCCCCTGCACACAGCACCACATAAGCGGTGGGCAAAACACCTAAGCCACCCCTCCGGCCTGACCCCTGGACACACCCCTCCCCTCACCCCATGTAAGAAACAAGCTTGCCCCCCCCTCAGGGAGCGAGCAAGGGAACCTGGTACTTGTTCTCACTCCCTCCTGCGGCTGCAGGGGTCCCAGTAAAGCCTCGCCTGAACCTCTTGTCTGGCCTCTAGTCAATTTCTATTGATTACAGAGGCCAAGAACCCTGGTGCGCACCACTACCAAAATTTCAGGTGGAAAATTTTAGTCAGACAACCGTATCAATGTGTCACTAAACAAGTTATAATATAAAGAAAACAGTACGATGTAAGTGGCAGAAGGAAAATACATATAAGAGTTCCGTGCAGAACCTTCTCCACGAAAGTGCTGTTAAATAACAAAAAATCTACAGAGTACATCTTAAAAGATCTAACTGGCTTTATTGAATGACTCATGAACCAGGCAACCTCCCATGTAGCAAGTAGAGGGGAGCCTCAGAGGGCTGCAGAGAGGGAGAGGTTTTTAAAGGTGAGACAAGGGAGTCATAAACAAAAAGATTATTTCGGATTAAGTCATCTCCCTTTGGGGACAAAAGGGTCTTATTAGGTGGGTTACCTCATCTTCCTTTGGGGATGGAGAGGGCCCATGTGACAGATTACCTCATTGGAACTGAGGTAATTCCAGAAAATTCCTGACTGACCAGTTAAGACTACATTTCTGGAGGAGGGTAAAACTTCAGTTAGGTGAGGTATTAAGTCCCAGTTTGGCGACATGGTCTAGCATAAGTGACTGTTTTGGGCCTGTGGTCTTCTTTCTAATAATACCAACGTAAAGGTGAAACATCAATGTTGTTTAATACCAACATAAAGGTGAAACATCAATGTTGTTTAAAGGGTAGACGCTATTAGGAGGTGGCTACAGACAGTCCTCCAGCCATGACGCGGGTCCATATGCACAAAACAGGTGGCCACACAGGACCCACAGGAGGAGCCCTCACTGCCCTCGATGTCCCATGGCCACACCAAGGGGCCAATCTGGGCTGTGCCTGGTGGGTAAAAGCTTTAAATTTAGACTAGAAATGCTTCAGTCTTGGCCAATCTGTTAATGACACCAAAGGAGTCCTTAGATCATTTTGATGGGTCGGTTTTAGGTAAAGACACGCTACTATTGTTTGCTTGTCTGATTATTCAGGGGTTAAGGGTGTCGTACAAATACGAGAAAGCTAGCTCAGCCTTTTTTCCAGGCAACAGACACCCAAGCACATGAGTCCATCTCCTCTCCTAGCTCTCCTTGCTGATCTTCTTACACAATCAGGAAATTCACCTTTGGCCAGAATTATGGCACGTTTTCCTGTGATTTACAGAGTACTCTGGCTTCCTGGAAAGGCTCTTTAAAATTTCAGATCTTTTAGCGGTAACTTTCCAATGCAATAATTTTTCTAAGACCAGGCTTTGAATTTTTAACAGAAATACTGAAAAGCTAGAGACCTGTATAGAATGTTTGAGCCCCCGATTTTAGGAGGCAGACGGACAAATGTAACTGACCTTTGAGTACGTCATAAGCCAGGGAGACCTCTAAAACCTTACTATAAGCTGAAGATTTTTACCGATGTTTTAAAAAAAAGAAGTGACAAGATTTCCAGTGCCGCCCTCAAGGATTGCAGCCACCTCCCCGTGTGTGGGCGCCGATAGCGTACTGCACACGTCAGGAGAGCCACTCGTTCTGTAAGTACCGAAACACTTCCATTCTAGAGGGTCAGGAGCTGCGGTCTGATCCGCCACTTTGTCCTAGTGCTCGGACTGCTCTGGCCTGCGAGAGCCCGGGGGGCCGGGGCCCACTCCTGGTGTTGTGGGGTGCGGGCTGGACCCCAGCAGGAGGAACCGGGTCCCGATAGATAACACGGGCATCAGCGCTACCCCCCTGTGCTGAAAGCCCCCGGGCTCCTCTGCTCGTTGTTCTGCCTCTCAGCTGTACTCGCAGGAGGGGCGGCGGACTGAGCTCGCTGTTAAAGGCAGGCTTGTGACTCACGCAGACCTGTCCTTCCCGGTCTGCCCTTTGAGACAAGGGTTTTCTCCGTTCAGCTCCTGTTTCACGCACGGGTGCCCCCTCACGAGGCCTCCGAGGAAGGGCCTCAGCCTTTGGGGCAAACACATGCAATTGAGACGTGGCATGCTCATTTCCAAAAGGCCTGGGGCATCTCTGCACTGCGCTCTGCAATGGACTGAACGCCCTACTTTAATGCTCTAAATATCAAATTCCATGCAATCAAACCGTGATCAACAGATCTCACCGGGTTCTCCATTTTGGCTATCTCTGTCCCAAAGCAAACAGAACAGATGCCTCTACTTTTTACAAGTTATTAAAAATCTTTAAGAAGTGATAGTTGAGTTTAAAACACCAACACACGGTTGCCGGCCTCAGTTCCAAAGTGCACAGGAAAGCCTGAACCTAGCTTCTCGGGCTGAGAAGCCCATCGGGGAAGGGGGTGGGGCTCCTCATGCTGGTTCAGACACAGGACAGGCTGAGAGGACACGACTCCAGATCCAGTCCCTCACCCGGCAAGCTGCCAACAAGACTGGTTCTAGGAAAGTTGCTGAAGTAGAAAAGCTGTGGACTGGAACTAAGGGAGCTGTCACCAGCTATTCTGAGACCCCATACCAGGTGAAATCTTGCATGCAAGAAGATGAACCTCATTATAAATAAGATGGAATCTCTCTCCAACCTAGTGGGATAGGGGCTTAGAGGTAGATTTAATTTGATTTTAGAAAAATAAAGTAACAGAACATTTTTTGAACTCTTAATTTAATCGGGTAGATTCCATACCCACTACATTCATATTTATTAAGCTCTGATTGACTAGGACCTTTACTAAGCAGAATGTGCTGTAAAATACAGTAGGGGGTAACTTTCTAAGTCCAGAGCAAAGAAAAGTTTTCATGAAGGAAATGTGACTGATTATCACTTAGCCTTAACTTCAGCCTGACAAATTACATGCATGAGTGAAGGAGCACTGTGTTAATTATGTAACGTCACATGAGAGGCTGCAGAATGAGAGCTGAAGTCAGGTGGCCTGGGCTCATCCTGCTGCCACACCTACTAGCTGTGAGACCTTGGGCAGCGCAGGCTCCTCACCTGTCCGAAGGGAAACAGTGCATTCTCCCAAAGGGCAGATACAAAGGCTGACGTTGTAACACACATTAAGCACTTAGAACAGTGCATGCTACCCTATGCCTTCTCATTTTTCAAAATAAATAATATGCATGTATTTTTAAGACATTTTTTAAAGCCTTGTATATTAAAAGCTCCGTTTCAAACCTAGACTAACAAAGCATAGTTATGTGAAATTATTGTCTTTTTCCTTAATAACGTGGTCCCCCAAGGGGCCTTTGAGACATCAGATTGTCTCTTTTAGGAGGTTCATTAGAATTTTGAATGTTATCAGAGACGTGGTCTACTTTTTCTTGTAGAAATTCTAATTGCTGAAATTTAGGACCATTTATGTATCAGTTTCTCAAAAATTAGTGAGGCAAAACAGAACAATGAAAAAAGTGAAAGTAAAAGCCAAAGGAAAATATAAACTGATAATCTTAAAAAAATGCTTTATGCAAAAATATAGTATATATGGATACAATACGATTGACAAACAGCAAAAAGAAAAATTTCTACATACCATTCCAGCGACAGAGCCGTTGTCAAGAGCCAGAGAAAGATGCCTCATTTCATGACTTTGGAAAATGCATACATTTCCTTTGTTGAAAATAACATCAAAGAGACCTATAAAACGTTTTAAGTATTAGCAAGTAATTCTTGCTTTTAAAGCTTTTCTTCCTATTCAATTATACATTGAAACCTCCTAATAATACATTCTATAATATCTCTCAGCTAAATATATTTAATTAGTCAAAAGGTAGAATGCCAGTAACCCTTAATAATCTACATGCTGCTTGGCAATCTGGTGGCATTTCCATGGAAAATCTCTAATGCCTTCTTCCCAATGCTAGTCAGTAAGCCCCTGAGACCACCCCACCCCAAATAACACTCAACGGAACTGTTTCCAGAAAGATAGATTATCCTAGTGTAAAAACCCATTTCTGTTCTATAAGTCTCAGAGACTTGAGGTAAAATAAATGGATACATTATAAAATTAAATATATATTATTTGGGCATTGGTGACTAGTTTGTATGGTTATGATGATAAAGATTATGTCATCATATATTTGATGGTTTTTAGCTTTCGGTATACCTTTACATGTCATTTTATCTTGAAATGTAAGCTTCTTGGGGGCATGAATTTTTGTCTACTCTGTGTATAGCTATATACCAGCACTCAGAACAATGCCTAGGACACAGTAGGCGCTCAGAAATATTCTTTAGGTAAGATCACTAAATTAGATCCCCAAATACAAATACTGCCTGATCTCACTTACATGTTAAATCTAAAAAACAAAACAAAATAAAAAGACTTGTAGATACAGAGAACAAATGGGTGGCTGCCAGAGGGAGGGAGTAGAGGGGTAGGCAAAATAGGTGAAGGAAATAAGTGGTACAAACCTCCAGCTATATAATAATTAAGTCACAAGGATGTAACGTAATTATATCCTTGTCAGCCTTGTAATGTAGCATAAGGAGTATGGTCAATAATATTGTAATAACTTTGTATGGGGACAGATGTTTGCTAGACTTCTCATGGTGATCATTTCATAATGTTTGCAAATGTCAAATCATTACCTAGTACACCTGAAACTAACATGACATTGTATGTCAACTATCTTTCAATTAAAAATAAAAAGGTTAAGTGTTCAAAACTTGTTGAAAAATAAAAAAATTAGAAATCTCATTTAAATTATAGAGTTAAGGAGCTATTCACCTGAGTGAAGAGTTTAAGAATGGAAATATTATTTAGTTTTAAGAAAATATATTTATTCAAGTAACATAACTCTAAGCCCAACATGAAAAAACGTATTGAATCCAGTAGATGCCAAAGAGAAATGTCTTCACGTTCATTTTTCAATCATCTTAAGAGGGTTCCTAGTAAAGTTAGAAATAGATGACTCTCTTACCGCCGTACAGGACAAGTATGGAAAGATCACGAGTAACGTAAGGGGGGCCTCCCCTCCCCATGCCCGTGCTCACGTTCCCTTCCACCAAGCCCAGAGAACAGGGCACAGCCCTTGGGCTGGCGACTGAAAGGAGCTACGTACTCCAGCTTTGCCCTTTCTACCCCAGGGGAGCCGCCATCACGAAGGCCCTTTCTCTAGCGTTCTCCGTCACCCGCGAGCGCAGCCCCCTTAGGGGAGCCTGTGGTTGCCCAACACTGCCTACATTTGGGGAGGTAAGCTTGTCTCATTCTGGGGACGGTTAGCAAGTCCTATGGGCTCACAAACAGAGCCAGTACCCCTCCCTTGATTCCATCAGTAATAAAGCTGAGATTTTGATTTCTATTCATCTGTGTTCTGTATCTTATCTCAATTGATTCTGCACACAGGAGCAGAAGAAAATGGTATTATTTATCGATGCCTTTTCTAATACTCAACTCTTAAAAAACAATAAAAACACCCCATTAAAACTAATCACAAAATGAGAATGCCAATATTACCAACATTATTTCACTTTCTTAAGGATGTTCTCACCAGTGGAAAAGTGCTTAAAACCAAATCGATAGATAGAACTACTGGGAAGTAGTAGATAAATTTATTATATTTGTAAAACCTGAAGAAACTCTTTAATTAGAGTGGAGTAAAGTGGTACGATTCAAGATAAATATATATCTAGACCAGTGCCTGACATATAATAGGCACTTAATAAATACTGAATGAACAAAACATATAAAAACTACAGATTTCTATATATTTGTATATATGTTAGCTTTATTATGGAAAAAGGGGTTATTTACAATAGCAACCAAAAGCCTTGGAACAACACTAATAAGACGATGTAGTACCTATGTGAAGAGAGAAAAAATGAATGTATATACACACACACATACATGGAGTCCTGAATTAATAGACAGAGGACAAACTCTTAAAGAAAAAGACTGAATACTGTGAAAACATCAATTCCTTCCAAGTTACTGTATAGATTTAACATAATTTTAGCAAAATTTCCTTCAGGATTTCTTGGGAACGATGAAATAAAGTCAGTTTGTAAGAAAAACCATAAACATTAACTCTGATCAATGCTCTGTGCTGTAGTTTGAGTATTAGACTCTCAGGTCACTGTCTGACATTTCAAAATGCCACTCGCCCTCCGCTCGTGTACAGCTGCTAGAAGCTCCTTGGAAGGGACAGGGCCTGGCCTGCCTTCCCTGTCCTGGTCTCCCAGTCTCCCTCACCTTCATCTACCAGGTGAGGTTGGGAGGTGATTCACCTGCTCACGTGAGTCACCATGGAGGCAGCACTGCAGGCCCCGCCTTTGGTCAGTCACTGCCATTTCTCCATCCCGCAGTGCAGAGGTCACACAGTGAGCCATGAGTGCGTCCCACTAGATTAGCATTCCTCTAGTACGGCAACTGCCTCCTGGTACTGGGGAGCCCTTTCAAGATGAGCCCTTTTTGCACTGGACAGCCGCTTGGGGTGGCCAGATGGCACCTGCTTACATGTTCTAGCCACGCTTGGTCTAAATCGCTGAAAACCCAAGGATCCGTGCATCAGATTCAAGAGAAATTAGGGGCTCAGGTCAACCTCTGACCACTCCTACTTTGCTGTGCCTTCCTAGAGGCCTTCCCTACGATCTAGTGGCTCTAGGTCCACTCTTCTCTCGCCATCCAACAAACAGCTGGCCTGAGAGAAAACACCAGTTTATCACACGGACAAGCGGTCCCTAAGCAGTGGTCAGCTGTGAAGTCAGGTGGCCATACTTCCATAATTCAGTCAGGAAGGACACAGCAGGCCCAGGTGGAGTGAGAGAGTATTACACCCAGCACAGCAGGCAGCAGGGGCTGCAGGTTCCTACCGGGCCCCCAACCCCCGAGTCCCATGGGGGCAATGCAGAGCAGGGCTAGGTAAATGGGGCACACGCCGTGTCACAGCTTACACCTTATCTGGGTGACTCTAGGTCTGGGTCTCTCGTGAGGCTGCACTCAAGGTGCTGGTTGGGGCTGCGGTCGTCTGAAGGCATGACTAAGGCTGGAGGGTCCTCGTGCAAAAGGGCCCCTCACACGGCTGCTGGCAAGAGGCTTCTGTTCCTTGACTAGCTGGCCTCTCCATGGGGCTGCTTGATGGCCTTATGACATGGCAGTTGACTGCCTCCAGAGCGAGCGATCCCAGAGAGAGTGCCAGGAGAAATCTGCAATGCCTATCTTACCTGGGCTCGAGAATCACACGCAGTCACTTCCACTATATTCGGCTTGCTGGCAGAAAGTCACCTAGTGCAGCCGGGACGCAGAGGGAGAGGAATATGCCCCACCTTTAGAAGAGGGCAGCCTCACGTAACTTGTGGACATATTTTGCAAGCTCCACGCTGAAGAGTGCAGCCACCTCTCCCACATGCACTAGTCTGACACGGCACCCAATAAACACTCAACCTGGTACAACTATTTACATAGCTCCATAGAGACAAAACAGAAAAATAATAACACATTAGAAACTTCCAGTGATGTGCTACCTTGTACATTTTTAAATGCATTCTTAATCCTTTGAGGAATATGTCAAACGAATCTGAATTTAGATTATGATCTTTTTTTTAAAAAAAAAGTACAACTATAAAGTGAGAAAACGATGTGAATCTGTATTTTATAGCAAATCTTTTGAAATTTGGGGGAATGGGAAGTTTGTGAAACTGGCCCTGACATAGAGAAGCCATCAATGGTTTAGAGTTAAAAACTGATTTACTTTGGTTGTCTGGTCCTTTCCTTTCAGTTCTAGCATCCCACACCAAAGACAAGAAGACTTGTTTTTGATTGCCATTGTCAATGTTGGTACAGTGTTGTTTTTTATACTTAAGAGCTTGTAATCATAAAATGAAGCCCCCTGTGGTATTTCAAAGATCTTCTCATGCTGAGTATCTGCTTTTAGGCCCACTATTGCCAAGAAATGGTTCAGTAGCTCTCAAAGAAATGAGCATTCTAACTCTCTGAGTATGGAAATACCTAAATTCACAACCAGCTTGATAACAAAATAGAGGATTGGTACATGGTGATAAAACAACATTTTTTTGTGGAGTGAAAATTTAAGCCAATATATCTGAGACATATTCTTAAAATATTTTCTTGAAAAGATGTTCATGGGTCAGCATTGTTCATCACAATACTTTCCAGGCATGTGAAAACTGATTCATGAGTATGAATTTATGGGACACTGAGCATAACATCAGGAAATAATGCTGCAAGTAATTATCACACATAGATGACCTCCTGCTGCAAATGTCAGTTATGCTGAAGAAAATTACTCCTCCTATCCTGCACCTGCCTTTTTTAGGACTGCTCATTCTGCTCTATGTATTACAGGACTACCATATTTAGATGCTGGGAACATTTAAGGGTAAAATTTCTCTATTTTCATCATCTACCGGTTAGCTCGTTCTACACAGAGACTCACACACCTGGCTGTCAGTGCTGGCTGCAAGACAGAAATCCAACTGGGGCTGTCAGAGCACCACTTCTTTCCCAGGGAGCCTCTCTGCAGAGCTCTCTGGGCTTACTCGTATGATGCGGGCTGGCTTCCATGAAGGACTAATCCAAGAAGTGCAGGCAGAAGATGCGGACCCTGGGAGTTACAGTGTGGGTTCGTCTGCATTCTGTTAGTCAAAACCTGTGGAAAGGCCTGACCCAGCGAGGGATGAGGAAGTCGCTCCACTTCTTGATGTGGGACTGGTAGGTTCCATTTATAAACCAGCTTGTTGGGATGAGTGTTAGAAGACAAGTCTCCCTACATTTGTCATTTTCCTGCATGGTCCAGTGCCTCTGAATAAAGGCATTTGCAAATATTTGTCTACGGAAACATTCCAGCATAGTAAAGCTTAGGTATCTACTTCTCTCCCTCTCTCCCTCTCCCTCAACATTCCAGGGGAGTAAAGATAAAGACCTTTCCTTCCCTTCCCTGGAGAAGATTTGCTTACATTCCAGAATAATGGTAGGTTCTCTCTGTCTCTTCTTTCTCTGTCTCTGTATCTCGCTTTGTTTCTCTTTCTCTAGAAGGAAGAATGGGCAACTCTGTATAAAATCAGAGTTTCCTAACTTGGGGATTTCTCCCCTTTAATGCACCCACCCACATACGGTCATAACATCAGGCCCTCACTTCGTGACACAGTGAGATGGGGGCTGGGGGAGCCAGTGTAAGATGCTGTTCTGGCTGCGGCAGTTGCTCTGAGAAATGATGGTCTTGGTCTTTGACTCAGTGCTCTTGTGGTTTCTGCAAGTAGGCTAAAACTTAGATCCTTCAGTTTCTGATTTAACAATGGGAGACATTTTCGTGACCACATTTGGAAATGCAGTCGACTATATTCAGTAAGGAAAAAGAGCGCCAGCCTTGGCCCCAGGGGCCCCAGGGAGCAGGATATGAAGGACCATTTTGACTGATCTAAGTAGATAAGTGATCCCAAATGGGAACCGATAGGTAAGAAAAATGTCTAAGAAATAGACTCCTTTTGAAAAGAGAAGCTACTAGGACATATTCTTAGATTCCTACATATTTTCATAGAAGAGAAAGTTGGATTATTCCCTGGGGTCTCTAATATGAGGTGGAGGTTACATTTTGGGGAAATGCTACAGGTTAATGTCTCCTGCACATCCTAGAGGCTATTTGAGTGGCAGTTTCTAACAAAGTACAGCAAGGTTACATCCATAGATGCAGCAGGCAAATTTTGTTTAAATAGTGCAGGTGTAAATTTCAAGAGGAGCTGGAGGTTTGGGTTCGTGGTGAAAGTCTACATTATCGGCTTTACTCCTTCTTCATTGATTTTTACGGTCACGGCTTCATGACACGCTGATATTAAACAACAAATCCAATTTCTCTTTGCCTAGTTTTCCCTCTGTGCTTTCATTATGACACTACAAACAGCCATTATTAGAACTGTTGTATGTGTTTGTCTTCTGTATCAGATTATGAGTCTCTGGAATTCCAAATAATGTCTTTGTCATTTCTGTGGTCCTCAAAGTATTCAACATGGTGCTTTGACATAACAGGTACTCGGTGTCTAGTAGAACCACCTGAATTCCTCAAATGGCCATACAATTCAAGAGCTACAACTGCTGTTTTCTATGAACACTTTATGTTAGTTGCCTACATTTTATTCTTCATGTAAGTAATACAGGTAAAATGTAAGTTTTTTCATGGTGCGCTGTCTGCATAATTGTATTGTCTGCCCAGGTTTAAAGTCTGTTGTCTATTGACCCTTTGTATTAATGTAGATAGTGAATCATTTCAATGGTCTAAGACTGGTATAAAGCTGTCTGAGAAATAAGAAGCAAACTTTAAGCTGGGTCTGGAAACCTGCTTTCCTCCAGCTCCCAAAATTGCCACGGCACCACATTCTTCGCCCAGTGATTTTACCATATTTGCCTGTCTTCTCTCCAACTGCATCAGCTGTGCCATCTGGATACAGACATAGAGCTGAAGAGTATTTCCTTTCATAAACTTCCAGCTTTCCACAGCCCACTAAATAGAAAATCAAAATAAACAAACAACACCAGTATGAGAAAACAGAAGAAATTGCTAGGAAACACCACTTACTAAACATTATATACTGTCTTAACACATCAAGTAGCTGTTCGAACACTGTTTTGTACCAAATAATTTAAGGCCGAAAGTAAAATCTTGCTGTTTCTTTTCTCTTAACTTCCAGCTTCTGCCCTGAGGATACAAAGGAGAGAGAGGAGCATTAATTTCAGCAGAGCCATGCTTTCCTCAATCATCATGAAACAGAATTTTCCAGCACATGTCTGACACTCACTTGCAGAGATGATACTGTTATCCCTGGCATACAGTTCTCTGACAATTTTACCATCATTCTCCCCTTGATCCAGCCATCTGTGGAAAGAAAAATGTATCAAGTATATTCTGAATTTATATTTACACTAACCACTGGCAATTATCTAGCCGAGTCAGAAATAATGGATACAGGAGTTAGAAAAAGCCATAGATACCTAACTGATGAAAGCAGACTAGAAATTGGAAAAGGAAACACTTTAAATGATTATGAGAGTTCAAGGGAGACAGGAGAAGCTGCTAACAGGTAAGGATGAAATATGTTTTTCCCTAACTCACAAGTGAATTACTCAACCAGTTAGCCTGCCAAAGTCATAGATTTTACATCCACTGGACAATTTATTTTATCCTGTTCTTTGGCCACCAACTACAGGTCAAACTATAGCCAGTTATTTAATGTACAACTATTATTGGTTGTAAGGAGAGTGTTGAAAAAAAGAGCAAATCTATCACTATTGTTGGGACAATAACCCCAAAATCAAGACTTAGTGACCATGGGTCAGCAATGCACGGTTATATAAAAAGTCCCATGCAACATTTATTTTGTACATTTATTATTTTTGAGCTATTTGAGACTCAGTCCAAAGGGAACAACTTTTCTTACCCGAGATTTTCATTCTCCTTACTGATGAAGAAAGAGAAATCATATTTTTAAAATCTATATTAGTTTACCAAAAAAGATTTAAATTTGTATCATCAGGAATGATAGTAAACATAATGGATATCTTTCTAAATAGAAGAAGCAGCCCTTAAAATTAATGTTCAAAAAAGTTACCCAACAAAGCATCGGTGACCAGGAATGATTGAATAAACTATCCATTTCTCCAAAATACATAAACTTGGAACTGACTAATATGAATGTGTTCAATGCAAAGCAGGCTTACGAACCTGTGGCAGAAAAAGGCATATTCGTGGCTCATTGTGGGATCCTTGATCACAACATCATCCAGAAACCAGCTGCTTCCTAAACACAAATTAAAGAAAGAAAAATGTGGTGTGTATATATATGAACCAGGTGTTACTGGAAGTTTTGAGAAAGATGCCCTAGCTTCCAAATATATAAAGGTCTTGTTCACCTTTAAGCTTTAATGCTTCAAATAAAGCAAGATACAAGAGAGGTAAACTGTAAGAGGCATTTAAAAATATTTCTTAAACATGTAACAAAAGCACAGCATATTTCAAGGCTTTGTGTTTTACAGTATCTACTTCAATATGATTTTCCAAACATTTGAAAAGAGAACAATTCTGCAATTGCTCTTCATTTCATAAACTGCATTTATAATCCTGGACCTAACATCATCCAAAAAATATATATCTGATGAGTTAGCAATACTGTCGATGTCCAAAATGCATACACATAGAAAGTTATTAAAGTTCAAATCTGGACCAAGTCTACGTTAATTAATTATATATGTGTGTATGTATATATATATATATATATATATATATGCTAGAAAAAGAGCAGTCATTCAGAAACTCTGTCCAAGCACACAGAATGATACACATGAGCTGATACACATAAAGATAATCTCTTTTTACAGAGCAGAAATAAATGAAACAGAAACAAAGAAAACAATAGGAAAGATCAATAAAACTAAAAGCTGGTTCTTTGAGAAGATAAACAAAATTGATAAACCATTAGCCAGACTCATCAAGAAAAAGAGGGAAAGGACTCAAATCAATAAAATTAGAAACGAAAAGGGAGAAGTTACAACAGACACCACAGAAATAGAAAGCATCATAAGAGACTACTACAAGCGACTCTGTGCCAATAAAATGGACAACCTGGAAGAAATGGACAAATTCTTAGAAATGTGTAACTTTACAAGACTGAACCAGGAAGAAATAGAAAACATGAACAGACCAATCACAGGTGAGGAAATTGAAACTCTGATTTAAAATCTTCCAACAAACAAAAGTCCAGGACCACACAGCTTCACAGGTGAATTCTATCAAATATTTAGAGAAGAGCTAACACCCATCCTTCTCAAACTCTTCCAAAAAAATTGCAGAGGAAGGAACACTCCCAAACTCATTCTATGAGGCCACCATTAATACCAAAACCAGACAAAGATACTACAAAAAAAGAAAATTACAGACCAATATCACTGATGAATATGGATGCAAAAATCCTTAACAAAATACTAGCAAACAGAATCCAACGACACATTAAAAGGATCATACACCATGATCAAGTGGGATTTATCCCAGGGATGCAATGATTCTTTAATATACGCAAATCAATCAATGTGATACACCATATTAACAAGTTGAAGGATAAAAACCATATGATCATCTCAATAGATGCAGAAAAAGCTTTTGACAAAACTGAACACTCATTTATGATAAAAACTCTCCAGAAAGGGGGCATAGAGGGAACCTACCTCGACATAATAAAGGCCATATACAGCAAAGCCACAGCAAACATCATTCTCAATTGTGAAAAACTGAAACCATTTCCTCTAAGATCAGGAACAAGGCAAGGATGTCCATTCTTGCCACTATTATTCCACATAGTTTTGGAAGTCCTAGCCATGGCAATCAGAGAAGAAAAAGAAATAAAAGGAATACAAATTGGAAAAGAAGAAGTAAAACTGTCACTGTTTGCAGATGACATGATACTATACATGGATAATCCTACAGATGCCACCAGAAAACTACTAGAGCTAATCAATGAATTTGGTAAAGTTGCAGGATACAAAATAATGCACAGAAATCTCTTGCATTCCTATATACTAACAACAAAAGATCAGAAAGAGAAATTAAGGAAACAATCCCACTCACCATTGCAACAAAAAGAATAAAATACCTAGGAATAAACCTACCTAAGGAGGTAAAAGACCTGTACTCAGGAAACTATAAGACACTGATGAAACAAATCAAAGATGACAAAACAGATGGAGAGACATACCATGTTCTTCGATTGGAAGAATCAATATTGTGAAAATGACTCTACTACCCAAAGCAATCTACAGATTCAATGCAATCCCTGTCAAATTACCAATGGCATTTTTTACAGAACTAGAACAAAAAATCTTAAAGTTTGTAGGGTGACACAAAAGACCCCAAATAGCCAAAGCAATCTTGAGGGGAAAAAACGCAGCTGGAGGAATCAGACTTCCTGACTTCAGACTATACTACAAAGCTACAGTAATCAAGACAACATGGTACTGGCACAAAAACAGAAATATAGATCAATGGAACAGGATAGAAAGCCTGGAGATAGACTCACGCACCTATGGTCAACTAATCTATGACAAAGGAGGCAAGGATATACAATGGAGAAAAGACAGTCTCTTCAATAGTGGTGCTGGGAAAACTGGACAGCTACATGTAAATGAATGAAATTAGAACACTCCCTAACACCATACAGAAAAATAAACTCAAAATGGATTGAAGACCTAAATGTAAGACCGGACACTATAAAACTCTTAGAGGAAAACATAGGAAGAACACACTTTGACATAAATCACAGCAAGATCTTTTTTGACCCACCTTCTAGAGTAATGGAAATAAAAACAAAACTAAACAAATGGGACCTAATGAAACTAAAAGTTTTTGCACAGCAAAGGAAACTATAAACAAAATGAAAAGACAATCCTCAGAATGGAAGAAAATATTTGCAAATGAATCAGTGGACAAAGGATTAATCTCCAAAATATAGAAACAGCCCATACAGCTCAATATTAAAAACACAAAAAGCCCAACCAAAAAATGGGCAGAAGACCTAAACAGACATTCCTCCAAAGAAGACATACAGATGGCCAAGAGGCACATGAAGAGATGCTCAACATCACCAATTATTAGAGAAATGCAAATCAAAACTACAGTGAGGTATCACTTCACACCAGTGAGAGTGGGCATCATCAGAAAATGTACAAACAACAAATGCTGGAGAGGCTGTGGAGAAAAGGGAACCCTCTTGCACTGCTGGTGGGAATGTAAATTGATACAGCCACTATGGAGAACAGTATGGAGGTTACTTAAAAACTAAAAATAGAACTACCATATGACCCAGCAATCCCACTACTGGGCATATGCCTAGAGAAAATCATAATTCAAAGACACATGCACCCCAATGTTCATTGCAGCGCTATTTACAATAGCCAGGTCGTGGAAGGAACCTAAGTGTCCATCGACAGATGAATGGATAAAGAAGATGTAGTACATATATATAATGGAATATTACTCAGCCGTAAAAAGGAATGAAATTGGGTTGTTTGTAGAGATGTGGATAGACCTAGAGTCTGTCATACAGAGCGAAGTCAGAAAGAGAAAAACAAATATCATATATTAACGCATATATGTGGAATCTAGAAAAATGGTACAGATGAACCGGTTTGCAAGGCAGAAATAGAGCCACAGATGTAGAAAACAAACATATGGACACCAAGGAGGGAAAGCGAGGTGGGGTGGAGTTGGGGGGGGATGGTGGTGGTGGGATGAACTGGGAGATTGGATTGACATGTATACACTAGTATGTCTAAAATAGATAACTAATAAGAACCTGCTGTATAAAAATAAATAAATAAAATTTTTAAATCTCTTTTTAAACATTTAATCTTATATTAATTTGCAGACTGGAGTTGGTTAAAATACAATTTACTTTTATTTATAGATAAGATGGAATATTTTAACCCTTCATCGTGGTTTTATCTATACAAAGAGCCAGTTCAAACCCTATCCTCCTTTATTGAAACTGCTCGTCTTGAGGAGGGAATGCTCATCAGCTGTAAACTCTTCCAAAGCACACATTCACGGCCTGGTCTCTGCTTACTCTTGGGCTTCATCACTCATCACACTCCCATTGCTGGGCCAGGCCACACTCGTCATCATTCCCTAGATCTGTGGTTCCCCAACTATAGTGAGCCTCAGAACCACCAGGAGGGGTGATGGAAACACAGATTGCTGGGCCGTACAGCAAGCTTCTGACACTGTGGGCCTGGGATAGGCAACCTAAGGTGACCAAATGCCCCAGTTTGCCCTGGACAGAGGGGTTTCCCAGGATGCAGGATTTTCAGTGCTAAAATCAAGATAGCCCCAAGCAAACCAGCATGGTTGGTCATCCTAGAAGAGACCCCAAGAATTAAATTTTTAACAAGATCCGAGGCAATGCTGATGATCCAGGAACCACATTTTGAAAACCACTGTCTGGATCTGGACAGTACTATGCTTCTGAAATAAGTGAGACAGAGAAAGACAAATACTATATGATGTCACTTACATGTGGAATCTAAAAAATAAAAAAACACATGTGTATAGCAAAACAGAAACAGACTCACAGATATAGAAAACAAACGAGTGGTTTCCAGTGAGGGAAACAGTGGGCAAGTGGCAAAATAGAGTTATGGGATTAAGAGATACAAGCTACTATGTGTAAAATAAATAAGTGACAAGGATGTATTGTACAGCACAAGGAATTATAGCCCTTACGTTGAAATAACTTATAATGGTGTATAATCTGTAAAAATGCTGAATCAGTATGTTGTACACCCAAAACTAATACAATATTGTAAATCAACTATACTTCAGTAAAAAAATGTAGCTTATAACTTTTTTAATTTTTAGTTTTTTGAATAATAAAAATTTATATGTGGCCACTTTGAATTGCTTTTTTAATATGCATTGCTCATTTGTATTGAATCCATTTAAAATCTGGTTCAGGTCTGATTTATCGGTCTGCCTATTATCATGACATTTACTAAACTATATTTAAAAACTGTCATCATTATACATTTTAAAGTGAGCATCTTCTGTGCTAGTGTTTTTCAAAATGTGATACTGTAGTCTATTATATCCTCTTAATTTTTCCAGATAAATAACAATAATTTTAACAGCTTTATCGAGAAATGATTTACATACTATAAAGCTCACCTATTTACGTGGATTCAGTGATTTGTAGTATATTTACAGAGTAGTGCAACCATCTTCATAATCCAAACTCAGTACATTTTCATCACCCCCAAAACAAAGTTTGTACCTATTCACTGTCACTCCCAAGTACCACCTGGCTCCCCTCTCCCAGACTTAGGCAACCGCTAATGTACTTTCTGACTTTGAGGGATTTGCCTACTCTGGATATTTCATACAATGGAATCATGCAACATGTGGTCTTTTGTGACTAGCATATTTCACGTAGGGATAGAAAAAGGAAGTCAGCTATCTATCTCAGGATTTACCTTTAGATTAATTGTATTGCCCTGTATTTCAGATTTTCTCTCCTCTAAGTCTGTGACAACTCTTGATCAAAATTAGCAGATACATCCACGCAGTACACCTCCACCTCCTTCCAATTCTCTGTCATCTCCTCACTTGTGATGCTCCACTTGACTGCGGAGTAACTGACAGTCTTCCTGTAAAGAAACCATTGCAGGAGGTTCTCTCCATCATAGTCTGAGAGCAAAATAAATCTTGCAGCAGATTGTTTTTGCCCAAACAAACGGACACACCTGGGTGCAATTTGGCTAAACAAAATTCTGTAGTTTTATAACTGCCGATACACCACAGACACAGGCACCTGGGGCCTAAACTATATATGTAAATATATGTAAGCACAAAACCTTCATCTCTCTCACCAAAACACAAAACAAATCAAAACAAAAAAACAGTGCTGTTGGAATACTGCAAACAACGACTGGATCTACAGCTAGTTGAGATCATTGGTAAATAAATCGTTAAAGAACAAATAGGTTCACTTAATCTGAAAGAGGGACAGAATCTATAAACCAAACTTTCTTGGCTAGAACTTCCTGTTACTTCTCAATATGACTTTCAGACAAAGCCAGTCTAATAATTCAGATGGGCATGTATTTCTTATTGTTGATGTTAATTATTATATATTACATATTTTTTTGCTGTTACTCTGAATAAGATCTTTTATATCTCATATTTTCAATGTAAGAAAAACAGCCTCCAGTTATTGTATATTGATTTAAATTCTAATCGCTTTATAAATTCTCTTCATCCATTTTTCAGTTGATCTTCCTTGCATTTTAATAGACATTTCTATCACCTGCAGGCAATAAATTCACATTCTTCTTTCCAAAATTATAACTTTAAAAATATATATATACAAATGCTTTCCAAAGAATGACTATCTCATAATGAGAAAAATCCTTATTGTATTTTAATGGATTTCATTGTTTATTAAGTGGTCATCTTGAGTTAAATAATTTTAAAGTATTTTTTCTGTTCCATATTTTCAAAGAATTTTTAATAATCGTATTATTTGACTGTTTATGAATAATTTTTCTGCTTCAACCTTCTGAGGTGATGTATTTTATTAATAGGTTTCCTAATGCTGAACTATCCTTCAATTTCCTGGCATGAGCCCTACTTAGTTGTTATGCATTATTCCTTTATTATACTTCTTGATTCACTTTGTACACGTTTACCTTTGAATACCTGCACATCCATGTAGCAGTGCTGCTGGTCTACAGCTGTTCTTCTGGACAATGCAGACTCCATGGGATACTCACATTGTGCCACCAACAGTGAATATCCTCAGAAGTAACATTAGTTCAATTTTATTTGGATATTTGAGGTAGGGCAAAATGAGAAATTTACCTGTCAAATTAAAATATTGTCTTCATCTGCTTGGGCTGCTATAACAAAATACCACAGACTGGGTAGCTTATAAACAACAGAAAATTATTTCCATATTTACCATAGAAAATACTCAGTACAGCACCTGATACATAGCAGGTCCACCAAATATATTTACAAAATTGAATTAGTTGCCATATAAGTGTTAGTTGGGCATATTAACACATCCTTTTATTGTTGTACCAGAGCATTCACTGTCCTACAAGCCTGCCTGACTCCCTGCAGAAATGGAATATTACCTTAGTATTTACTGTGGATCGGAGCCCAAACTCTTTAAAATTAGTTGTCAACTGACAGAAAAATAAGGTGCAAAAGACTTGGGTCTGGTCAAAATATAAATGAATTTTGCCCAAGAGAGAAAATAACCTCAAAGTTATGTTTTTATTATCTTAGGACATTAGCCATAGCTTTAATTTAATCTATCAATCTTATCATTCTTTTTGTTTTCACTGATTATAAGTATATATTTTTCAGTTTTGTGTAACGTCTTTTGAACGAGCTTTGTCAACTGGCTAATTCCCTCATTATTTAAACACATGTCCACTACATATTGGTATGAGAACTTTGTTCTTAACATTTTGCAAGTTATATGTTGACACTTTTAAGTAAAAGAGTTTATTGTCTTGTTTCATGTTTTGGGGTTTTTTTAATGCTTTTTGTGGTATATGCACTTTTGTTAAAGGATTTTATTTATCTTATGGCAATCTTATACAGTAGCAGAAAATGAAAATACTGGTCATCCACAGTTGGGAAAATTGAGATAGAAGCATGAACAAGTTGGCAGCAGAAAACACAGCAAGGCTGCCAGGACAGCCTCCTGAAGGTGTCACTGCTGGCACCATCATTAGCACTTAATGGACTGTCACTGTCAGAGGACACTGCCGCTATGTCCACCAGCAGCATTCTGGAACACTGCCACGTGCCACAGCGTATAAATCCCAAATTCCCCCAGTTTTTATGCATCATTCTTTCTAGCTTTCTAGGCAGAGCATCTACTTGAAAAAGCCTACAAAATTTTGAAAAACAATACATCCACTTAAAATTTAAAGAATATTTGGGACAATATTTTAATTTCAGATAGTCAATACTTAGAGATCAGTTCGTTACAAGTTTTCCACGATTATTTTCTAGATTTGTACAGGGTTTCACATGAACAGAGCAGAATCAGACCTTCAACATCTACCTATGGAAGACTCTTACCTGGTCCAAGCCCATCATGGCCTACGACAATCCTGTACAAATTCTCAAGGGTCATGGCTTCTAGGGAGAAGGTGTCAATCTGTAACAAATCAAAAAAGTATAGTTAGATCCAGACTATGAGTCTGATTTCTAATGAGTATAAATTAAGATACAGCAAAAATTCATTGTGAAAGGGATTAGGTTCATTCAGTAAATACACAAATCTGTCTAAATTAAGAAAGTAAAAGTTAAAACAATAATATTAATTTATAGAACATAATAAGTTTTCTTCCTTCTTGCCCATTTTTCATTATAAAAGCATAAATTTGAGGACTCTCTACAAATACGTTTTCAAATAATGATAATATAAATGTAATAATTATAAAGTATACTAAATGTTTCCACTCATTTGAATTCAACAAACTCTTATCTGTCCTGAATGGAATTTTTTAGCAATGTTTATGGGCCATTTGCAAAAATAATGTTTCTAAAGTAATTTTAGAATATTGATGCAAAAACTATTGAAAATTTATAACATTTATCTGGAACAATGTCCCAGTGCACTGCTACAATCAAAACTGTTCATGTTTGTGCTCCAATGGTTTGTGTATTCAGAATATGGGTAAAAGTGAGGAGCCAGAGTTCTTTTGATAAAACCTACGATAATGATACAGGTTAAAATGCAAGAAAATACATGATGTAGCATAGTGGTTGAAAAATAATTCAAAAACAAAAAATAAGCTTTGCATTTCAGTGTCTTATATGTTTTGAAATATTTTCACACATAGCGATATTTTATCCTTAAAAGTCACTCAGTGAGAAAAAAACATATCCACTCTAGGGATAAAGAACAGTGAGGTACGGAACCAGTGTTAGAGCTCAGTTCCTCTGATATGTAATAATACTACCTTCCTTTGCAATCACTCTGCCTCTGCATAAGTGGACTATAAAAAATATAAATAACAGATAAAGCCATTAGCATTTATTTACAAAGAATACACTCAATGCCTAAAGGTTAATGGTAACACTGCCACCTCTTTATCATGAAAGGGATCTGCTAGAAAAGGAGGACATCCTATGCAATAATAGAAAATACTAGCAAAGAAAATCATGAGTTACAATATTTATGATGATTGATGTAGAGAATGCTAAGAAAAAAAGAGGAAACATAATGAAAATATGCTGATATACTTAAAATTATTTGGATTATCACAGAAAGCTTAGATAACTAAAATACAATGGGCCTTCTATAATTTACTCAGTTAAAAACTTAAGTATTACTTACATATTAATATTAGTAATAGTAAAAAAAATAACATATTCAGTTTCCAAATTTGACAACGTAAGTTGTTATACAGTCAACCCATGAACAACACAGGTTTAAACTTCACTTATACATGAATTTTTTTCAATAAATATGCACTACAGCACTACACAATCAGCGCAGTTGGTTGGATCCTCGGATGCGGAACCATGGATGTGGAACCATGGATGTGGAGGGTCAACTGTAAAGTTATATGCAGATTTTCAACTGCATGGGGGTCAGTGCCCCTAACCTCCTATGTTGCTCAGGGTCAACTGTATATAGTAATCCTCATTTAACAGTATAAAAGTAGGTGTAAAAATCAGACAATTGGGAATGACTTCAGCAAGATGGTGGACTAAGGAGAACCAAGCCCTCATTCCTCATGGAGACACCATTTTAAACACAGTGTATGGACTAGAATACTTCTGTGAAAATTCTGAACACCGATAAGAAGCTGCAGCACCCAGTCCAATGCATAATGAAGAGGGGACTCCATCAAAATGGGAGGAAAAAGAAACAAAATGAAGAAAAGTGAAGAGAACCTAAGGGACTTTTGGAATACCCTCAAATGGAATAGTATATGCATTGTAGGAGTCACAGAAGGAGGAGAGAGAGAGAGACAAAGGGGCAAAAAGCTTTTATGGACATACAAATTCAAGATCAATGAACCTGAACTAAGATAAACCTAAGGAGACCCAAACCAAGACACATTATAATCAAATTGTCAAAAGTCAAAGACAAAGAGAGAATCTTGAAAGCAGCAAGAGAAAAGTGGCTCATCATGTGCCAGTGAGCTTCTACAGGTTTATGAGTGGATTCCTGAGCAGAAATCATGCAGGCTACAAGGCAATGGGATAATATATTCAAACTGCTGGAAGAAAAACCTGCCAACTAAGAATTCTGTACCAGATGAAACTGTCCTTCAAAAATGAAGGTGAAATTAAGACTTCCCCAGGTAAAACAAAAGCTGAGGGAGTTCATTTCCAGTAGACTGCCTTACAAGAAATGCCATAGGGAGTCCTTCAAGTTGAAAAAAAATAAAAAGGATAATAAATAGCAACACAAAGCTATATGAGTTGGAGAAAATATGTGCAAATCATATATGTGACACGAGATTAATATCCAGAATATACAAAGAACTCCTTCAACTCAACAACAAATAAATAACTTGATTTTAAAATAGCAAAAGACTTGAATAAACATTTCTACAGAGATGATATACAAATGACCAACAAGCATATGAAACGATGTCAACCTAATTTAACATTAGAGAAATGCAAATCAAAACTACAATGAGATATCACCTCACACCCATTAGGATAGTTACTGTCAAAAAACAGAAAATAACAAGTGTCGCCAAGGATGTGAAGAAACTTGAACCCTTGTGCATTGTTGGTGGGATTGTAAAATAGTGCAATCGCTATTGAAAACGGTATACTGTTTCCTCAAAAAAATTAAAAATAGAACTTCCATATGATCCAGCATTCCTGCTGCTAAGTATATACCCAAAAGAATTGAACTGGGGATACCAATTCAATGGTATGCAGAGGACACCCACTGCATTATTCACAACAGTCCAAAGTTTGAGGGACTTCCCTGGCGGTCCAGTGGTTAGGACTCCGCGCTTCCACTGCTGGGGGTCCGGGTTCGATCCCTGGACAGGGTAGTAAGATGGTGCAAGACGTGGTGTGGCCAAAAAAATTAAAAAGTAAAAAAACAAAAAAGTTTGAAATAACCAAAATGTCCATCAATGGATGAATGAATAAAGAAAAGGTGGTGTATACATACAATGGAATATTATTCAGACTTATAAAGGAAGGAAATCTTGTTAGATTCTACAACATGAATGAACCTTGAGGACATTATGCTAAGTGAAATAAGCTAGTTCACAAAAAGACAATCGTTGTATGATTCCGATTATATATTCAAATTCAGAGAGACAGAAAGTAGAATCGTTGTTACTAAGGATGGGGGAAAGGGGAACGAGGAGCTGTTATTCAATGAGTATAGAGTTTCAGTTTTGCAAGGTGAAAAATTTCTGGAGATCTGTTGCACAGCAAGGTAAATATCCTTAGCACTACTGAACTGCGCACTTAAAAATACAGTTGACTGGGCTTCCCTGGTGGCGCAGCGGTTGAGAGTCCGCCTGCCGATGCAGGGGACGCGGGTTCGTGCCCCGGTCCGGGAAGATCCCACATGCCACGGAGCGGCTGGGCCCGTGAGCCATGGCCGCTGAGCCTGCGTGTCCGGAGCCTGTGCTCCGCAACGGGAGAGGCCACAACAGGGAGAGGCCCGCGTACCGCCAAAAAAAAAAGAAAAGAAAAAGAAATGAAACAGGGAGAACCACTACAGATCCCGTGGAAAATTTAAATGATAATAAAAGAATACCATGAAGGACTCTATGTCCACAAATTTGATAACCTAGATGAAGTGGACCAACCCCTTGAGAGACACACTGTGTCAAAGCTCCCACAAGAAGAAACAGAATTTCAGCTTTGTGAGGTCTGCTGCACAACAATGTGAGTATATCTAAGTGAAAGGCACACTTCAAAACGTCTGACAGTAAATTTTATGTATTTGTTACCACAATTAAAAAAAAAAAAAAAATATATATATATATATATATATATATACACACACACACACACACAGGACCTATTGTATAGAACAAGGATCTCTGCTCAATATTCTGTAATAACCTAAATGGGAAAAGAATTTGAAAAAGAATAGATACATGTAAATGTATAACTGAATCACTTTGCCGTACACCTGAAACTAACACACCATTGTTAATCAACTATATCCCAATATAAAATAATTTTTTTTCTTTTAAAAATGAGAGATGAAGAAGCAAAAGTGATCTCTGCATCATTACTAACAGTAGGTAGAACAGGGCACCTGGCGAACTCCTCCTACCAGGTGAATGGGTGGGCTGACGAGGAAGAGTGCTGAGAAAAATACTCATAAATGTTGAGGGAAATGCTTATGAATGATGGGCACAGTGCTCACGCAAGCCTTCACTTTTCAGCAAATGGAACTATTCATATCTTTTCAAAAGTTAAAAATTTAACTTCAGAAACTTAACAAAGAGTTCATTACACCTTATTTAAACCCACAGAGGAATCGTCAGTCTCTGCAAGTGTAGCAGCTCATCGTCCCTATTAAGTTATACAAGTTATTATGTATCTAAACCTGATATTAGATTCTATGACATCATGGGGCTTTTCTTAATCTTTACATAGTATTTATCATTTATTTCTTTAGAAAACTAAGATATCACATTTTTAATGGAAAATGTTGTGAACTGGAGAAAAATCTGTTTTTACCAATTGCCCATGTAATAATTCTCATATATCCTTTTCCTATTCTCTTCCAAAGTAGAAGCCAGCAGACACAAGAGCAAACAGCTCTTCTGGACAGAGTCACCCTGAATTCTTGTGGCCATGAGCAGTTACTGACACGGAGCACAGCCTATTTCTCAGCCACATTTACACGAGTCTTAAACACACCTCTGCTTTTGGCCCAAAGCTTAGAAAGTCATTGGGCAGTTCTGTTTTCATTTCCTAATCAAATAGATAAATTTTCAAAAATGAGGCTGAGCCTGATAAGGAAAGCATACACTGATTTTGCATTTTTTAACCCAGGAATAACTTCATTGGACATTCAATTTTCTCATGACCTTCTAAGAATTAATCTTCTTTTTTTGATTAGGAGGCATTTCAGCTGACATTCCTACAGGTTTAACTGTTGACAAGAACAGACTCCTGAATGCCAGTACATGAAACAACTAAAAAATATTTAGATGCAGCTGTCACACCAGCAGAGGCAACTGGCGAGGAATAAGCGGTTCCTTAATCACTCATTCATTCAATTATTCATTTACTCAACACGTATTGAACTTCTCTGTCCTTCAGCATTTAGGCAAACAAGTTTTACTTGTGCTGCCTGGAGCGGACCTTCCCTACCTGGAAGGATGGACGACTGCCCTTTGTTTAAAACAGGAAATTCTCAACAGACTTCCCTGTCCTCTTGATCGCGTGCCGACCATCGTTGAACAGGTATATAAAACTGTCTTCCAGCATTCATGTCCCACAATTGTGTTTATAACAGCAACAATATTACTTATAAAAAATGTAAGAATACTTTATCAAAGAGTCAAATAAAAATTTTTATCCAAGCCTGACACTTAAGAAGGCCTTTTCCCTTTTTTTAAGTATAAGTCGTTGAATACTTGACAAGAAAAGTGTTAATTTCTTCTTTTATTGCCATCTCAAGTACAATGGCATTTCTTTTCTCTACTTTGAAATTTTTCTATTTCTAATTTCTCCATATTGAAATGCTAGACATGTCAATTTCCTCCCAAATTTTCTGTCATCAATATTTTCCTATCTAGAAAGAGATACTTACAATTTTTAAAAATCTATTCCTTCCCTGTTCCAACCTCTTAGTAATGAATTTCTTTTTACTTTAAAGTGATTTTCTAGAATACTAGCATGAGCTTAGAGTCCATGCACTACAGATTCAAATTAATATAGTTCCCTCCTTGGGTCCTTAGCAATTAATGAAATTCAAGCTATAATTATTTATTTGGGTACCTATTATACCATATTATATCTAATCCATTCATCCTGGACTTAAACAAAGATGTTAATACATTCTGATAGGTTCAGATGAATGCCAAAAATCATCGAAAAGTAGAAATATGTTTTCTAATTCTAAAATCTAGCCTTTCATGAGAAGGGTACTATCATTCTTTTAAAAACTTCTGTGAGGTATTGTTTTATCTGTTAAATTAATCTTACTGTCTTTAAAATGCCTTACATCAGAGATTTTCAACTTTAATGTGCTTAGAAAATCATGTTGTTATAAAGGTAGATTTTCAATCCTTAAACTTACTATCTCTGTGGGTCTTGGTAAGGCCCAGAAATTTACATTCATAAATTCACATCAAGTGTGATTCTGGAGCAATCACACTTTAGAAAGGCTCCCTGAGAGCCGCACAGAATTACCATTGGTTTGCAAGGTTAACACTGCTGCCACCACTATTTGATTCAGTTTTTAGATTACAGTCCAAGGCAGATCATTTGAGAAATACAAAAAAATCACCATTCAAAATGTTTTATTTTGTAATCTTCCTTAACTAGACTTAAAGAATCAAGATTAAGTTCATAAAAGTAATGTGATTATTTTATGGATTGTGGAAATGTTGTATCATTATTGCTATAATAGACTCAGTGTTTTAAATCAAATCCCTTCAACTTATAGGCACAGGTTGGCTTACTTAAAATTTTAAATTTCAAACTTCTAAACTGTATTATAAAAATTCAACAGAAAATTCTAAACTCATTATCTAACATCTTAATTTTGCCAAATGGGTAGATTATAAACGGGCGTTATATACTCAGAATAAGACTTTGGATCAAGAATATCTCCTCTTCACTGGTACTGAAGGACAGGTGAGGTAAACCTCAGGCAAACACGTGGCCTTGCAATGACAGAGTACTCGCCATAGAGAGAAAGACACCAAGAATTTTCAGCCTGATTTTTTTGTCTTTCCTCTTCAATACTATTTAATTTCTTCAGATCACTTAACCACTGTCTCAGCATCCCAGCTTCATAACGAATATAATATTGCTTATTGGTTACTGATCAAATGAGATGAGTGTTAATTTTCATAAATTAGTTTAGCTTACTAGGAGAGAAAAAGTAAAAGATATTATTATCATATATGATCACTTACGTATCAGTTTGAATACTATACTTCAAAAGCTCTATATATCAATAGCATAAAAGAGAAAATTATTTCATATAGAAGCCAGGTAGTAATTTTGAATTTTGAAATCTAACATCTACATTCTGTATTTTCATAAAGTGAGTTTCATTGATTCATTCTGCTTCAGGATCTCTTGTGACTTTAATGTAAAGAAGATGGCATTATTAACAACTGTATATTTCTGCTAATGAAAGAAAAAATATGTTTTTAAGGGATTACTCATCTACCATGAATTTTTCATTAATTTTCTCATGTGTTATAAAACTGTAGATCAAGTTTGCCAAGAATATCAGGGGTTTGACTACGTGTTCTTTGCATTTTGAGAACTTGTTTAAAGATTATTTATTCGGAAATGACAAAAGAGGGAAATACACCATACACAAAAATGGATTACAAGCTGCATGATATCCAGTGTTAAAGACATGCAATATTGGCAAGCACAGTAATAAGTAAAATTTTAGATTCTGAACAATATAGAAAATTGAAGCCTCTTTTTGCTCCTAAAAGCACTCAGGGGCTTTATCTCACTTGGCATGAGTAGACTAAATTTGAGGGCTGGCATTCAAGTCTAGTAGAAAATTATTTCACCAACAAGAATGGGCTATTTTACTGCCCTTCTGGAGCAGGTAACAACCTCCTAGTCACGTTTTCATCATTATTGCAACCATATCAAGAAGCAATGGGAGTTTATCCAGATTCCCAAGTATTTTCTTTTCTTTGCAAAGAGGCAAAAGGATTGCTTGGTTGAGGTGCTTCCCTCAATTAATTAGGGATTACAGTTATTAATAAGGGCACATGATGCTGCTGCCTTGAGGAATACACTAAAAAGTCCAGGTTTGACTCCATCCACTCACAATAGGTATGAAATGCCCCCTTGAGGTTTGATTCTTAAGCAGAATTTATGAGGATCTTGCAAAGGATGGAAGTATTGATATGTATTTACCTCTTTACAGTGCCAGGAAGGGGAGACTCTGGAGTTCGTATGAACAATACGAATCTTAAAGAGTGTTCCAATGTCTCCAACTGTGATCTATAAAGGAACCAAGAGAACTTCTTTCAATGTAATTTCACAAAATCCATTTTATTTTTGGGGGGGGTGGTACGCGGGCCTCTCACTGTTGTGGCTTCTCCCGTTGCGAAGCACAGGCTCCGGACACGCAGGCTCAGCGGCCATGGCTCATGGGCCCAGCCGCTCCACGGCATGTGGGATCTTCCCAGACCAGGGCACGAACCCATGTCCCCTACATCGGCAGGCAGACTCTCAACCACTGCACCACCAGGGAAGCCCACAAAATCCATTTTTTTTAAAACCTTATATTAGGACATTATATTTTGATAAAGTAATCAATCTATCAACAAGGTTTTAGAATTATAAAAAGTTATACACCTAATGACAGAGTGCCAAAATATATGAAGCACAAATGGACAGAACTGAATGGAGAAACAGTCTACAATAATTGTTGGAGACTTTAACACCCCACTTTGAATAATGGAAAGAACAACTAAACAGAAGATCAGTAAGGAAATAGAGGACTTGAAAAACATTATACACCAACTAAATCTAACAGACATTTATAGAAAGCTCCACTCAACAACAGCAAGAATACATAGTTTTCTCAAGTGCACATAAAACATTCTCCAGGATAGACTATATGTTATGTCAAAAAAGAGGTTTTGAAAATTGAGTAAGATTGAAATCATACAGAGTATCTTTTCTAACTACAATGAAATGAAACTAGAAATAAATACAAGAAAGACAACTGGAAAATCCACAAATACATATAAATTAACCTACATACTCTTAAGCAACAAAGAAATTGCAAGGGAAATTTAAAAATACCTTGAGATGAATGAAAAAACACAAAAACATAGTGGATATTGCTGAAAGCAGAGGTCACAGGGAAGTTTTAGCTGTAAACCATAAAATATGAACGTACTTAAAAGGAGAAAACCATTTCAGGTGAATGTCCATCAACTAGACTGGCAAGCTTGCTGTGAGAGAAAACTTCTTTGGAGATTTTGATCCAATAAATCCAGAGACTCTAAGGAGAGGGAGAAGGAGGAGGGGCAGGAGAAGGGAGGGAGAGAATGAAGGAAGAAGAGGGTGCGGGTAGGAGGAAAGTGGGAAGAGGAGGAAGAGGAGGAAGAAAATGGAGGTTCTCAAATAAATAACCTCTAACTTTACAACTTAAGGAACTAGAAGAAAGAGGAGTAAACTAAATGCAAAGCTAGCAGAAGAAAGGAAATAATAAACTAGAATGGAGATAAAATAGAGAATAGAAAAACAGTAGAATCAACAAAACCAAAAGCTGATTCTTTGAAAAGAAAAACAACAAAATTTACAAACTTTTAGCTAGCCTAAGAAAAAAAAAGAAAACTCAAATTACTAAAATTATAAATGAAAATAGGGACATTACTACTAACCTTACAGAAATAAAAAGGATTATAAAGGAACATCATGGACAAGTTATGCCAGCAAATTAGATAACCTAGATGAAATGGACAAATCTTTAGAATCACACAAACTATCAAAATGTACTCAAACAAAACAAAAGAAAAAGAAAGTCTGAAGACGCCTGTAACAAGTTACTGAAGCAGTAATCAAAAACTTCCCAACAAAGAAAAATCTAGGACAGTTGGCTTCACTGGTGAATTCTACCAAACACTTAAAGAAGAATTAATACCAACTCATCTCAAAATCTTCCAAAAAATAGAGGGGATGGGAACACTTCTTAATGCATTCTACAAGGTCAGCGTTACCCTGATACCAAAGCCAGACAAAGACATGACAAGAAAACTAGAGACAAAGCCACTTGTAAACATAGAGGCAATAACGGAACTTAAAAGCTTTTGCACAGCAAAGGAAACCATAAACAAGATGAAAAGACAACCTTCAGAATGGGAGAAAATATTTGCAGATGAAGCAACTGACAAAGGATTAATCTCCAAAATTTACAAGCAGCTCATGTATCTCAGTATCAAAAAAACAAAAAACCCAATCCAAAAAAGGGCAGAAGACCTAAATAGATATTTCTCCAAAGAAGCTATACAGATTGCCAACAAACACTTGAAAGAATGTTCAACATCATTAATCATTACAGAAGTGCAAATCAAAACTACAATGCAGTATCATCTCACACCAGTCAGAATGGCCATCATCAAATGATCTACAAACAATAAATGCTGAAGAGGGTGTGGAGAAAAGGGAACCCTCTTACACTGTTGGTGGGAATGTAAGTTGATACAGCCACTATGGAGGTTCCTTAAAAAACTACAAATAGAACTACCATACGACCCAGCAATCCCACTACTGGGCATATACCCTGAGAAAACCATCATTCAAAAAGAGTCATGTACCACAATGTTCATTGCAGCTCTATTTACAATACCCAGGAGATGGAAGCAATCTAAGTGTCCATCAACAGATGAATGGATAAAGAATATGTGGCACATATATACAATGGAATATTACTCAGCCATAAAAAGAAACGAAATTGAGCTATTTGTAATGAGGTGGATGGACCTAGAGTCTGTCATACAGAGTGAAGTCAGTCAGAAAGAGAAAGACAAATACCGTATGCTAACACATATATATGGAATTTAAGAAAAAAAATGTCATGAAGAACCTAGGGGTAAGACAGGAATAAAGACACAGACCTACTAGAGAACAGACTTGAGGATATGGGGAGGGGGAAGGGTGAGCTGTGACAAAGCGAGAGAGAGGCATGGACATACATACACTATCAAACGTAAGGTAGATAGCTAGTGGGAAGCAGCCGCATAGCACAGGGAGATCAGCTCGGTGCTCTGTGACCACCTAGAGGGGTGGGATAGGGAGGGTGGGAGGGAGGGAGACGCAAGAGGGAAGAGCTATGGGAACATATGTATAGGTATAACTGATTCACTTTGTTATAAAGCAGAAACTAACACACCATTGTAAAGCAATTATACCCCAATAAAGATTTTTTTTAAAAAAGTTAAAAAAATTAAAAAATAAAAATAAAATGCACTAATATAAAAAAAAAAAGAAAAATATATAGAGGCAAAAATCTTCAACAAATACTAGCAAACTGAATCCAGAAGCATAATAAAATGATTATACACTCTGACCAATGGGATTATACATCCTGACGAAACCATCCTGATTTATCCCAGGAATGGAGAGTGGTTCAACATACAAATATCAATTTAATACACCACATAAATAGAATGAAGAGGAAAAAAAAAAAAAACTCATCTCAACTGATGCAAAAAAAAGCATTTGACAAAATCCAACACATTTTCATGATAAAAACACTCAACAAACTAGAAATAGAAGGGAACTTCCTGAACATAACAAAGGGCATCTATGAAAAACCAACAAGTAATATCATACTTAATGATAAAAGACTGAAAGTTTCCTCCTAAATCAGGAACAAGATAAGAATGCCAGTTTTCATGACTTCTGGTCAACATTGTACTGGAAGTTGTAGGTATAGCAATTAGGCAAGAGAAAGAAATTTTAAAACATCCAAATTGGAAAAGAATAAATAAAACGATCTCCATTCACAGACTATATGATCTGATATATAGAAAATCCTAAAGATTCCACACACACACAAAAAAAACTATTAGAGTTAAAAAATGAATTCAGCAAAGTTACACAATACTCACACCACACAAAAATCTGTTGCATTTCTATAACTAGTAATGAGCAATATGAAAAAGAAATTAAGACAACAATTCTATTTATAATAGCATCAAAAAGTATAAAATTCTTAGGAATAAACTTAACCAAGGAGGTGCAAGACTTACACACAAAAAACTGCAAAATATCACTGAAAGAAAGTAAATAAATATAAACATATCATGTTCATGGATTGGAAGGCTTAATATTGAAAAGATATCAATACTACCAAAGTGATCTACAGATTCAGCATATAATCCCTATCAAAATCTCAATGGCCTGTTTTGCAGAAATGGAAAACCTGATCCTAAAATTCATATGGAATTGCAAAGGGCCAGAAATAGCCAAAGCAATCTTGAAAAAATAAAAACAAGGCTGGAGGACCCAAAATTTCTGATTTCAAAACTTACTACAAAGCTATGGTATTGAAAACTGTGGGGTACGGACATAAAGATATATACATAGATCAATGGAATAGAATTGAAAAATAAACCCTATGCATCTATGGCCAGTTGATTTTTGACAAAGGCATAGGGTTATTCATGGGAGTAAGAATAGTCTCTTCAAGAAACAAAGCGAGGACAACTAGGCATGTCCCTGTAAAAGAATGGAACTGGACTTTTACTTCATACCATATATAAACTGTAACTCAAAATAGATCAAAGAACGAACATAGAAGAAAACAAAGTGGTAAGTCTTCGTGACCTTGGATTTGGCAGTGGTTTCTTAGATATGACACCAAAAACACAAGGAATAAAAAAAATTAGATGAATTGGACATCATCAAAATTAAAAATTCTTGTGCATCCAAAGATACTATCAAATGAATGAACCCACAGAATGGGAGAAAATCATATTTCTGATAAGGGTCTAGTATTCAGAATATATAAAGAACTCTTACAACTCAACAGCAAAAAGAAAAAAAAAAAAATTTTTAAACTGGGCCAAGACAGGGAGATCAGCTTGGTGCTTTGTGGCCATCTAGAGGGGTGGGATAGGGAGGGTGGGAGGGAGACGCAAGAGGGAGGGGATATGGAGATATATGTATAGCTGATTCACTTTGTTATAAAGCAGAAACTAACGCACCATTGTAAAGCAACTATACTCCAATAAAGATGTTAAAAAAGAAAACAAGAAATTAAAATGGGCCAAAGATTTGAATAAATATATATCCAAAGAAGATACACCAATGGCCAACAAGCACATAAAAAGATAATATCATTAATCATTAGGGAAATGTAAATCAAAATGACAATGAGATCCCACTTCATACCCATAAGGATTGGCTAGAATTTTTTTTCGAAAATTGACAAGTGTTGGTGAAGATGTGGAGAAACTGGAATCCTCATACATTGCCAGTGGAAA